AGATCTGCCTGTACTTATTAGTTTCTAAATAACTAAGTCCAGGAAGAGGAGGAAGAAGAGCCCAACCCTGAAATGCTCTCTGATTTTCCAAAGCATTATTGTGATCCTTGTAACAGAGTGGAAGAGAAAAGTTTATTCTCAGCCTGCATAAAATGACACATAGAGAATTTGATAGATGTCCATCTCTCCCACTGCATTATTGGTGTGAAGCTATTCTGCAAATACCTTTGTTGTCAGCTCACTCCGGTTGCAAGTAGGAGTACAATTATAATGGAAAAGTACATCCCCACTGTTGTGGATTTCCTCTTACAGAAATGGCTCCAATGTTTCATTCCTAGCTGGGTGGTCAAATTATGCTTCTTCCTTTATTTACCATGGCTGAATTTTAATTATAGAGTAAAAATGCTAATACAAGAAGTATAAGTATGACTCAACTTTGTAAAATCACTGTTCCATCTAAGCAATAAAAGAGCTGCTCCCCTGGAACAGAAATAATGCAGAGGCATGTATTATATTTTAGCTGACTTCTTTTATTGTGGTTTCTTTTTTTCTCTTCAGTAGGATAGATAAGTACAGACCCTGGATAAAAAGAGGAGTGCTTCACAAGGTCCTTGCCTAGACAGAGGTACACAGGATTCACTTGGTATTAAGAGGTAAACTAGTCTATAAAATGGTTGGATATAATATTCTACCTATTGTAGTTTATGGATATTTTCATTATGTATATATTTGTGTAATCCTTTTTGGACCCTACTAATCTCTTGGCCTAAGTTATACCTAGTAGTAATTAGCTCAACAGGTTAATTCCAGCTTTTGTTTAGGAAAAAAAGAGAAAGACAGAAAATGAAAATAAAAGCTTCCTTTGATTACTTTTTTTTTCCTCCTCTCTACTTCATTATTTTCTTGGATAAACAAAGAACCTGGTTTACCTTCTCAGTACAATTCCTTATCTCAATAATGCCATTTTATATTCCTTCTTACTCATTTCTGTCAATTGAGTAGTCCAAATATCTTCAATTTCTATTCAACAAAAACATGTGTCCCATATATTTTTTGCAAGGCACGTTTCATGTGGGTCAGCAAAAAATGGTGAAACCATTTCAGTGTGTCATCCCAAGACTGTGTATGCTTACACGAGTGAGTCTTTAAATAAAGAGAAATTATCCTGAGAGCAGAAAGTGCAACTGAAAGGATTCCTTGACCCCTGAAACCATGAGCTCCCTTTCATCTTTGCTCACTGGCTCATTGGTGAATACTGAATCCTCCCGTTGACTAGAGACTTTTCTCAAAAGGGCAGGAAGCAAAGGTCTGAGCAGCTCAAGACAGAAGGGGAAATGGGACCCATGTGTCCCTCTTCCTCTGTGACAGATCTGACAATAGGGCTATTGCACTACAAGAAGAGGGCAGGCACTATCACTTTCTGTCCTCTTCCCAAAGTATTTTAACAGAAAACACTGTTTCACTTGTCAGTTTGATGAGAAACAAACAAAAAAAAACCAGCCCATAAGACCTACACTCATTAGATGGTTTATCTGCTAAGTGAATGGATGCTTCTGTCTGCTGTTTTGGACATGTTTTGAGATGTAGGGTAGGAAACATAAACTGCTCACTCAGCATTGTGGATTGCATGCTGGAGCCACCTGCATGGTATCAGCTTTAGAGGCACATCAGTCCAGGATCACCTCAGTGTTTTCAGAAGTCATCAATCCAGAGCCTGCCTCTCTTATACAGTGATGGGCTGATCTGTCTCCTTCACCAGCAGAAAAAGGAGTCTAGACTGCCAAACATTTTGAAGGTTAAAATAGAGTAAAATCCAACTATTCTGTAGTTTTCAAGTCAGTAGGGCCAACTGAAGCTTCAAAATCAGACTTGAGACCCTAGCAAGGAAATACAGACCTGAGTTTTCATTTTTACATTATCATTTTGATGATGCAATTTGGGGGCCACCAACATGGTTTTTAACCATCTTCAGCTCATGCTAGAACATCTGTTGTTATCTTTGCCTAATAGCAATGCACTTCATTATGATGTTCATTTATTTGGCATGTAGAGATCAATTGTAACTATTTGTAGTACTTCAAGACTTATTGCTAAACCTTATAGCAAATTTTCTTTGGATCAATGGATGGAGAGATACAGAGTACCTCATTCTTTGCTGCTGAATCATCAGTCATGATAGCAATTTCACTGAGAACATGAAAAAGTGACAGGAACTTCCCAAACCATGTCAAAACAGTGCCACATCAAGCATGATTTGAATAACACAAAGTAGTTCCCAAATACCAAGATAATTGGATTCAATTGAGTAGTTATTCAGCTTTGTTGAGTTTTGCTGAACTCCAATTCCCCTTTCTAACTTTAACTGTGCTCTTAGTTGGATTTACTGCATGTTTGAAAGAGTTTATTAGTCTGTGTCTGTCTTATCTGATGGGGTAGACCAAAACCATACTACAGTATGATTCCATTTGGAGGAACTGTGTTGTGACGCCTAAGGAGCAGGTTTACCTTTGCAAGTGCTATTGATAACACAGTTGGGTGTGGCTGGAGGCTGCAGACTGCTCCTCTTTTTCAGTTCAAAGACATGTCGGTTCTTGGGGGCTGTGTAAATTATCTGCAAATCATGATCTCTCTTGCTTTGCTTGAAAAGCAAAATAGCTTTTTATTCAGTTAAGGAGAATTTCAACAAATTCAGTGCTTACACACAAACATCTCAGTTACATATTTTTTTTAATGACCTTTTTCAACAAGATGGAACCCCTTTTACAGCAATCACTATCAATAAGGCACACTATGAGAAAAGATAATAAGGGTTAGATAGTTTGTTCTCTGCGGTGGGTTGTAAACTCCCACAGCTCCTAAGTTTTCAAAGTCCCTTGCAAATGCTAAACTATCACTCTTCTCCCTCACAAAGGCACATGGCTTAAGGCTTGAACTACAATCAGGTGAAGTTTTAAATGCCCCAAATGCCTCATGTAATACCTGGAAACCTAGCTACATGGAGACTCTCACACCACAATCTGAATAAGTTCTTCCTGGGCTGGTAGCAAAAAGTGATTCTCATGCATCTCACTTATGGGAGGGAAAGAACTATACTCTCTCAAGAGCACAGCCAGCATGTGTAACAGAGACAGAAAAAAACTTGTAGAGCACTTGAATCCCATCCTTGCATTCAGGTCATAATGTTTTTATGAAATGCTAAAAATATCACTAAAGTATTAGCTTTAGAAACTTTAGCTTGAACTAAAGTTATTTTCTAATGGTGCTGTAATTTAAGTACTGCAATCGTTACTTGCAAAGCTTACAGGCACATTATTTTTGTCATAACTACCCACAAATCTCTACTAGCCTGGATAACATGTACTACAGAATGCTTTCTAATGGAACATCTGTGCCAGAGAGAAAAATACTCCTATAGCAAAGAGCTGTGCAGTTTTTGTGAAGAAGACCATGATTACAAATTAATCTTGTGAGTACCCCTGATATAACCTACAGATCCAGCAGAGCAAATAAATCTCTTTTAGCTGACAAGCACTGCATTAAAGATCTTGACTCTGGCAGCTGTCAGTGCCTCTTTCTGCTGATGACCACAAAGGACCAAGCCAGGCAGGGAACATGTGAGCATCTTGAAGGGCAATATCCACCTCCCCCTAGTTTCACATGGAGAAGCTGGGCTGGTCCAGTCATCCTTGGGAAGTTTTATATATCTCCAAGGGATTGTTAATGAGGCATTTCAGATTCTTTAAGACCCACAAAGTCAAAATATGCTGTCCAGTTATCCCACTAAAGGCATAGCCTAGCTTGACCCAAAAACTGGTGTCAAAGCCTTTCATGTTCTGACCCTGATATATTTCATTTCTTTGCACTAAAATTGTACTAGAAAGAGATGCAAATTTTTATGGCACTAAGCATTTCTTTCATTTTCTTTCCATGTCTTGCTACTCAATACAAGCACGACATATGCTGTTAGATGGCCCATTAATTGCAGTATCTCACTAGACCTTTAAAATGAAAGCTACTGCCGCTGGTGGTTTACATGGAACAGAGATATATAACCTCCTAAAATATCTGTAGTAGCCCCAAGTTAAGAGACAGTATTTTTTAAATCCTTTCAGTTATATTAATACTCCCTTTTTTTTTTTTCTGGAATGGAGTTTGTCAGTATAATTTGCAATTATTACTTTGCATAATAAATTCATGATTTTGAGCTTCTGACTCTGAAAAGCAAATCGCTCTGAATATATTATCCATGTGAAATGAATTTGTTTGTGTGTTTCACCCAGATATATACACAAAATATTCCTCCTCCTGGGGTAGAAGAGAAAGGTGGGATAGATTTTTATAAAAGGAGGATTGAAACAATTTTTATAATGAAATCCTGCCTAAGCAAAACTCTTGTAGTAACAAATCTCCTGGCAGTGAGCCTGTCAGTGGACTATGTGCAAGACCTTATCTGAACAGCAGCCAGGGACACTGTAGAACAAGCCCAGAGTGACTTATTACCTTTCCTCTCCCACTCCTCACCCCACTCAGCCAGCTTAGAACCTTGTGCCAGAGTGCTTCCCCAGCTTCTTACAAATACCATGTTTACTTCTCTGGAATGCTTTGAAGAATGCATCCAGGTTGCCTAAACTCGTCCAGTCACTTTTCCGGCAGGAAAGTAAAAAGCAAGAACAATTAACAGTAGCACCATGCTGCTACGTTGTCAGTCCACACTTAATTCACTGCCTACCACAAACACTTGAGTTTTAGTGTGTTAAAGCACAGTTAAGCCATCACTTCTGAGTGTCTTGCACTCATCAGCTGTGTGCGACATAACAATAGATGTGGACTTTTCCTGTTTACCTTAGTCTCATGAGTTAATTTGAGTAGCTGTGCTTTCCTTTATTCTTCCCAATGTTCAAAACTGTGCCATCAGCTTTGTGTAATTTTTTCCTGGTTAGTTCAGCTCCCAGGCTGACAAATTTTACCTGCTATAATTTTCATTTAAACTAACAACTTACTTGTTGGGCTGCTCATCTGTGTAAATAGCCATGAGGGTTTGCTGAGAATGTTAGCCAGGAGGCAGTTTCTTGATAGTGTTTTGCTGCTGCTGTTTCAGAAAAAGAATATTATAATAATTAGAAACAGTAAGCCAGTGTGCATGCTTTCAAGGTCAGATACCATTTCTTTCATGTTAACATGAAACCACATGATAACTTTTATGTTGTATCAATGTATTCTGAGAGTTGTATCCTGCACCGATTTGCAGGTCATTTACTTAACTACTGTTGTGCAGAGTGAAAATTGGTGAAGAATTTGACCTTTTTATCTCTGTAAATGTTTCTCAAGCAACCTTAGAAATCCTCTCTATTTCTTTTATAATTCCACCACTTATTAAATGTTCGTATTTGGAGGCATAATCTGACTTGGTAAAATTATTCATGTGTCTTTTACTCCCATTGATACTTTTGGCATGGCAAGTAGGCAGATCTGAGTACAACAGTAAGATACTGAGCTGTACACAATGTTCATTTGCCTCTCTGCAGACCAATGACTGCATGTGAATATAGTATTCAGTAGTGCATGAAGAAATGTTTTTATTAGGCTTTTTATTATTTTTCAATGCACAAAGGACTACAGTAACTTTGTTTCTTTTTTTTCCTTAAGAAATAAGGCTGCTGCTTCCATATGCAATATTAAAACTCTACTGCTCCCATATCTTACACTTATGTAGTCAATGCTGAGATCTCAGCCAAGGGCACAGCCTAGGCATTTGCATGTCAAGATGAAAATAATCCATTTTGATCCTCTATAGAAAAGGAGAAATAGAGGAAGAATAAAAATAGAGGAAGAAGCTCAGAAAACATTACCCATCTCTCTCTGCCATGGGAGTCTTGAGGGAATAACATACCAGAGAGGGGTGTGATACTGCAGTGCTGCACTGTCTGGGAATCACACAAAGAAGAATTCAAACACAACAGAAAATATCCTGATGAAAACTGCATCTATGCTGATCAGAAGAGGGAAAAAAAAAGACAAAAAAAGGACTAGAGAAATAAAAGCTGACTTCTTTCCATCTAGTGGTAGCACTTAAATGAGATGTCTTTTGACCACAGCTGCTCAGTGGAAAGAGAGAAGACCGAGGTATTTCATAACAGTATGTACGTCAAATTAAAAGTAAGCAGATTAAGCAGATACAAAAATATTAGATTTTATGTAAATTTGCAGCTAGGTATGTACTATTGTGCTTTGCCGCCAGATCTGTTTTTTCAGAATACATTATGTATCTGGCACTGACCTGGCTGGGCACTGTGATGCTCAAATCAAGCAGCGTGTGCCTATCTGCCATAATACCTCCTTTTGTTCAGGAGATAGATGTGTTCATCAATTCAGAAAGTCTTTATACAGTGGAAAGGTCCATGGCCCTCACTGCAGTTCTGCAGAGGCACAGGCAGCCAGCTTGCATTGTGCATGTGTGACAGGTTGGGCTTCTCCCAGGAGCTGCTTTGGGTGGTGTGTTGTGGAGCACAACACATGCCTTTTCTCCACCCTCCATGTCACTTGTAGATATCATTTTCCTCTATGGAATAGGAGGAGTCACTTCATCTAAGTACAGCAGATGCCTTATTGTAGCCTTTGGCTGAGCCAGCATGGAAGGGCAGTACCATTTTGAACCCACACCACCACTCTGAGCCAGTTTACCCAGGGCTCCCCTCAAGACTCAACACCCACTCTAGATTCCATTAACTGATGTTGGCTCAAAACTCCTTGTAAGTGATAGGCACAGGTTGTGAAGTCCAAACACATACAAAGACCAACTTACAGAAACTCAGAGAGTAAAGCAGCAAAAAGAAAAGCACTGATCAAATAAGTAAATCCTTGTTTTGTAATGTCCTACCTCTCCTTAGGCCATAAGTGTTTAGAGATTATGCCATGCTATGCTTGTACATCTGTAAACATCAGCAATCACAATTTTAAACTTATTCTTTTGAGTACCTGTAAAGTACTTCATAAAATGCTCCCACGCAGCTCATTCCCACACAAACATTCATCTTGCAATACAGTGTGCTCCTTCCACTTTCTCAGATCCTGAGGAAATTAAAAGCCCCATTGGACTGAAAAGCAAAAAAAAAATTTAAGAAAAGCCCTGGAATTTTGAAAAGAAAATAATATGAAATAAAACTGTGGAAAACAATAAGCAAGAAATCCGTAGACTTAGGAAGAAATCTGTTACAGACCAAGTTTTATTTGGGTAGCAACACTGGTAAACAGATACTGGGATTTATGTTTTTCATTATTCTTTGGTTGTAATCCTCATTTTAATTGTGCTCTTTATTTATTGATAGAACCTTCAGATCCAGTATACCCAGTCTATAAGACAGAAATGTGAGAGCCAGGAAAATGGTATACTCCCTGTCTCTCTTTTTCCCCCAGTAATCCTCCTCAGATTTCCTCCTATCAAACTTTCATTTTTTCTCTTACTCTTCTCCAAAGCAGAACTGTTCCCATTCTCTTTTTCCTCAGCTCACCTAGGGCCCTTGTTAAGACTGAGATCTTCTCTGCAGCAAATTCCTTTTTAACTCTCCTGTATACTGGGTGGGAGGCAAAGATTCAAAATGTGCAAAAATAATACGTGTTAAAATTTGCGGAAGAAATAAAATTAATGCATATGTCATGGCACTACCCTGTACTACTTTCCATCTGGGAGGAAAGAAATAGACATTTCAGCTTAATAATATGCATGGTTTTCCCATTAGATTACCGAGTCTCTTAATGTAGATATACATTGTTTTTTGGATATCAACAAACCACTTGAAGTATTATTTACACTCAGGGCTAGAATGATTGCCATGAGAATAATTGTGTAAAAGCTCGAATAGGAAAACAAAATTAACACTGCTGAATGGTATTCAGGCCTCAGTGATTTGGCAAACTTAGAAAAGTTCACATGTCAGTTAAATGACAGATATGAGCCATTGCAAAAAATGTAGTGGTATTTCTTGAAAATATCTGATAGAGTAAAGGTTAATGTTATTAAGATTCTGCTTGGTATGTAGTTGGTGTGAATGCAATATGTTCTTTTTGATTTCTGTTTTCAAATATCAGTGATGATTTGATTTTTTTATTAGTAGTGTTTAAGGATGCGTTGAATTTGTTTGTTTACTTGCTTGCTTGTTTGTTTGTAAAAATAATTAAAGCTGTTAAGGTTGAAAGAAAGAGGTACATATTAAATCCCAGCCTACATAACTAAGTCTGCAATACTAATGTCTCCATCATTAGTATATCATTACAGTATTTTGTTATTCTTGGTTAAATTCAGATTCATTTTATGCTTTTCTCTTTGGGGTTCAAGAGCTGATTTTTTTTCTGTAGTCAGTCTTTCCGCAGCTTCATTAAGACATATGATGTTTTAGCCTTCTCTTAATGCCCTGAATCAGTACAAAACTTCTGAAACCAGCAAACATGCCAAAGAAGGAGGTAGCACATACTGAGTATAAGGAATCCATGTGCAAGCAAGATACATGTGATAGCCAGCCTGATGTTGGTCATGTGAGTTAGCCTGTCCTTAACAGGCTGCCTGTGTCAATCTTTTAAACAAAGTCATTCCCACTCCGTGCACCACTTCGGACAGTGATCCCAGCGGTGTGTCTGCTGTGCTTGTGCACATTAGTGGATGCAGATCTGCCAGGTGTGGAAACTTTTGAGCAGACTTTTCTGTGTCCATTCTTGTTGCATACCTTTGCCTGACAATGAGTAGCATGTATCCTGTTGGTAGTAGCAGGCATTTTTTACCTTTCATGTTTACCCACAAGACATCAGGTGCCATTGCAAACCATTTATGTGAAAAACAGTACACATGGCCTAAAAGTAAGTGAATTTTCTATTCAAACCATTCATTCAGGTTTTGACCCCCCCACCTTCTCCATTCTGACATTCTCTTCATCCACTTGATTTCAAAACTATGCAGGCTTTGATTTCAGTCATTTCTCACCCTTTAAATCTCATTTCTTATTCCCTAACTCAATTAACACAGCTTAGTTAAAATTGTTACAAACATCTTTTTTGGTATTATCCTCTTAATCATAATTTTTAAATGAATGGAATATTTAATAATCTATACTCATGATGTAATCAAAAAAATTTAAATCCTGTGAAAGCTATTTAATAATATTCTAAACTACTCAACATTTAATTAAGGTTATTAGAAATTAGATGGAAAGAAAGATGAATAAAGAAGAAATCTGAAGTCTGTAACCATTGTTTCTATAATGAATGAACACATTATGTCCTTCCAAAACTAAAGTGGTAATACATCTTTTCTCCCAAAAGGTCTTGTTTTAGTGATGTGATTTTGTGTTTCAGAAGAGAAACAGAGAGGATTGAAGTCTTTAAAATTGTTTTACAAATAATGTCAACCCACTGTATATCAGCCTATCCCTTTACTGGAACTAAAATAAGCACACAGACACCAGGCTAACCTCCCTAAGCAACAGAAAAATCCTCTCCTGCCTGCACAGTGCGGTGGTGTTGTTGCACAGAACCCCATGTGGGAAGATGTGTTGTTTCAGCACATGTACCAGAGGATGTGGTGTACCCTGTCCCTCAGACCTAGCACTTTATCATATACCCCAGCCCATATCACCACACTTAGGAGCTGCCTCTGCTGACTGGGACATAAGCATCCAGAGACCACTCCATCCCAGAAAGCCAAACCAGCACTATAAGCTACATCTGCCATGCAAATGCAAGGCATAAATGCTCTTCATAGTAATTATCTTGGACATTCACTCACACAGATTTTGGGCAGTCTTTTTTGGTTTTAATTTTGTTTTCCCTGCAGTCATTTGAAGGTGAAATGCACCTCTCACTAAACCTATTCCAGAGGGATTTGGGATCTGATTGTGCATTTCTTCTACAAATGAGTCCTACCCTAGCCTGCCAGTCATTCCCTTTACATAATTTCCACAAAAGCCTGAGGGACTTTTTCATGAAAGAGGACTTGAGGGTCAAGCACACTTTAGAAGAGATTCTTCTTTTTTTTTTTTCTTTTTTGTGTTTCAAAGTAAACTTAAACAGCTTTAAAACTATTCAGTATTCCCAAGCTGAGATCAGAGCCAGGCACAAAAGGCCAAATTGTGGCCCAGGTTTTCAGTGTCTGAGGCTTGTTTTCAACAAGTAAAGGGACCACTCACTGCTCTTAGACCAAACACCAAATTTCCACTGATATCAGTATGCCTGGACTGAGAGTCTGAGTCTCCTAAAAGAATTTCAGCAAAGTCAAATATTCAAAAGCTGTGTCATCACACCAGATTGCACTCTGAGAATAGCAGGAAGGAATTAAATTGCACACTGTAAAAATGTTAGCAACCACATTTCATTTTTGAAAAGCCAATTTATTTGTTCTGAAATAAGGAGTTGATTATATCTCTTATTACTGTTACAAGAGCTTGATATATCACAAAGTGGAAGAGTTACAACATGTACCAACTCTCAACTAGGAAAAATGAACCTGATTCATAATTCACTTTGAGAATGTCTAGTTAGTCAATCAAGTGATTTGTAATCATAAAGGCTGCCAGGAATTGAATGAATAATGGACTGTACTAAAATCCTCAGATTTTCTAGTATTCTTATCTCATTATATGTCTTCTATTGCTATTTCTGATACTTATCTCTCTTTCAGCAGAATAAATTAAACTATTCATATATACTGAAAATAATATATTTGACTATTTAATAAACAAATTGAATGACCACTCAATGTAACAACTGAATGTGAGGTTTTTCTCCACAGAAGCTAAATTTTTAGGAAGTGAAGATTGAACAGAAAAAAAAAAGCTTTTCCCTTCCCCATTCCCCCTGCAATTTTCCTCCTTGAAAGGATTTTTGGAGTAATCAATCCTACCATATATCATATTGTTACAGTACAATTTCTCAAGTTGTTTTATAACCATGGAAATTGCATAATTCATATAGCGTGGCATTTGTTAAAGAGCGACTGCTTTACCCTCTTTCTGTAGCTGAGAAGCATCTATACATTGTATGATTATTTAATAAGGAATGACATCCAAATCTGTATTTTTATCATAGTCTGACAGAATCAGATAGATAGTTGTAGACAGAGATGGAAACAAGACACAAACACCTTAAATATGAAACTGTGCTGAAGATGCAGTTTAATATGTGTTAATCATATTCAGAAGTGCAGATTTTTACTATTTAATTTCTCTTTCAGGCTTTTGTTGCAAAACAAAACTTCTGAGCCATGCAGCTAGCATATTTAGGAAGTCTCTTAAATGCAGTTTCTCTTACATTGAAATTTTAACTCATTGTTTGCTATATTATTCATTATTATCTCATGCATTTCTAAAGATATGTTTTCAATATCCTGACAACAGAATCAGGCAATTTTTGAGTGATTGGTGCACTTGTGCTGTAAGATACTTTATTCTTGGCCTCTTCCTGTACCTACAAAGCAAGTCCATTGACAGACAATTGCCTCTTGTCAATTTGTACTGATGTATTTTTTTTTTCATGGTGAGGGTCCGTGTGACAAAGAATGAATTGTGAACTGATAAAATCAAATTTATTTTAGCTGGAAAAATTTTAAGGAATTTACCTTTTTCATCATTCAGATGAGAGCCTTACACCTCCCTATAAACTCAAGGGTCATTTCTTATTAAAAAAAATAAAAATAAAATAAAAACCAGAACATGGAGATGGCTTCACCTAGAAGTGAAATACAACCTATCCCACTCCAGAAAGTGGTAATGGGAAAAAACAGTTATTTCTGGAAGTTTTGGATCAAGCTTAGAAATAAAGGTGAATTTACAAATACCAGGATGTAATTAGCCAAACTGAATTATAGACAGGGTGTTGTTCCTACTGTTGTAGGCATTCCTATGCTATTTTGTAATGATTGCAATGGATCATTGCATGCTTTTCAAACCTTCTCTAAAGCTGTTGTCATTTCTAAGGGGCAGCATCAAATCAAATATAAACTACAACTGAAGTGTAACCATGACCAAAACTCATGTTTTGGCACATTTTTTATTTCTGGTGAAAACATAGATTTCTGGTCTGTGGAAATGTTCACAGACCAGACAGGATATCATTG